TTTTTTTTAACAGGACTTGCTACACAGCCTAGCAAAGGAGTAGGCAATGGCCCTTGCTCACCTGCCCGTCAATGCCAGGTGAAGGAGCAGCAGGGATTTTGTTCTGCAACGCAGTGAGCCGGCGGAGAGCACACGGGGGCTGTCCCTGCTCTCTGATGCTCCCTCCGTGAAGGAGCCTTTTCCCTTCCTCCGCTGGTGGGAGCCTCCAGCGAGCGGGGCTTGCAGCTGGGCACCTTCCTGCCTGCTGCTCCTCCACCCCAGAGAGCCGGTCCTGCAGGGTCAGGCGGCTTCTTCTGGGTTTTTGTGGGGGGTTTGTTCCTGAAAGGATAAGTTGTCTTTTTTTTATTATTTCTAGGCTTAAAAGGTTGCAGAGCACTGGTCTAGGTGGTGTTTCCTACAGGAATTCAGACCGGGGCAGGGGAAAGTAACTCAGGTGATCACCTGTGGCTGATCACCTGCTGCTAGATGGAAGGTGAGACCTGCTCCGCAGGTGAGTGTGGAAGAACAGCCAGTGCCGCAGAGATGGTTTAACTGTCTGGAAAATGCCAGCTATGCAGGCTGGCTGCTGTGGGGAGATTTTCCAGGGGTATTTTGACCAAGGATCAATAACTTTGTCCTGCGTAGTGGGCTGGCTGAAGGTGCCGCCAGAAGCATAAGGCAGCTGGGGCACCTCTGCGACGTCCCCGTGGTGGTGAAGAAGCCAGACAACCAAAAACCCCGCGCGGGGTGCGTGGGCCGCCTTGCTGCTAGCTGAAGGGGTGGTGTGCTGGTCGTGGGGAGGGTTGGTTCGTCGGTCTGCGTCACTGAGATGCTGTCGTCCAGTTGTCCTCACAGGTGCCCAAGGCCTGACCTGAGCACCAGGGTGGCCACAAACTCGCACCATCTGTTAGCAATATGAAACTGATGTTTAATCAGTTTAATAGCTGGCATCTGTGGGAGGTTGGATACATCTTCAGGTGCCAAATGGGGACCTTCAGGGATGACCAAAGCTTGGCCAGACCCAGTCCCATTCAAACCAGCTCTCTGCAGGTCAGCTGTGGCTGAAGTGATGGAGAGCCCTGAGCTGCGCCATCCCTCTGGAGCACGATTTCTGCTCTGTTGCAGGTGAATCTGGGAACTGGGGGAGGAAGCCATGGCTTGCTCTTCTGCTAGCTGGTTTTTGTACACCTAGAGGAAGGCTGCGTTTTGGAAAAGCCCAAGTCCTGGCTTTTTTTTC